AGAGAAGAAATAAGAAAGCCACAATTACATTGATTAAGCCCCAAGATATTTGGTTTGATAGAACTATACATTTAATGCGAGACTAGTAGTTTAGACCTGGTAAGTCATACACAATCATACGCTGTGCTTCCTTCTGATTTTTCCCTTGCCATGGCTCTTCTTTTTTGCAATCTTGATTTTCATTTTCAGCTTCTTCCGAATTGGTTTTAAGGCTTTAGAAGTTTGACCACCATCAGTCATCTCCACATCTGCTAAACAATGGAAACGACATTAATATACAAAGAAAGACATTTTTGTACTAAGAAGTGTGAAAAATATGGTTCCATACACGTGTATTCATCATGAATGGATATATAAAAGAATGATTTATCCAGATTTTTCAAGATACCAGAAGGTTGATAGACATTACAATATATTAATAGAACGCTTTTAATCACCAGTTAAGAAAAGTCAAAACAGTTATGCAGAATAGAGTTTACAAGTATATAGTAGTTATCCATCAAGGCCGCTAAATGCTCCTCTACATATAGCTTCAATACATTCTATGAAGAGCAAAAAGGCTATCTTTCAAAGGAAACTGCTTGATGCCTTCTTATAGATGAACTCTAATTGTGTACAGAAATGTTTGTATCTTTTCAATATTGTACACTTTCTTTACAATGTTAGTCTCATATTCCCAGGAGACTATATCTCAAGAAGGGTTAAATACACCGTCAGTCACCTAGCAAGGCTTCAAGTTGGCTACCAGACTTTATTTTGCTCCAACTTAGACACTGACCTATTGATATTGTTTAGGTTTGCTCTTGCTCACCCCGTTCAACTCTATCTCACAAACTAATGGAAAAAACTTGTGGACATGGTGGATGAAACTGATTTGTAATTATGCAGCTGTTAGCTAACATGCTTTGGCATGCCACATGTAAAAAGCCATTTAAATGATGAAGTCATTTTATGTGAATGCAACTTTACTATTTATCCAAGAGTTTTACTGTGGTCATCATAATAATCTCCATGCATCAATCCAAAAACTCCAATATTTGACTCAAGTCAACAAGCTCTTACTAAATTCCTCATTTAGATTTGTCATTATTAACAACTATATTCGTTCTTACTGCCAGTATTGTTGTTATTATACACATCATTATAGTAATCATGAGAATATAGTTCTCGAACCTGCTGTTGCAGTTTAGACGGAGCTGATTGTAGGAGGAGGAGGAATAGCGGGACTCAATAATTTTATAACAGGGATGCTTCGTTTACTTGGCATAGCAGGAAATGGCCACATTAATAGCCGTGTTCAATGAATGAATGGGTTGTTTGAGCAGAAAAAGAGTTGAGATCTGAGAAGGTGGAAAACCTTCTGTTCTCTGTCTCTATTTCAGTAAGGTGGGTGGCCCGGGGGGGCGAGGGGGGGGGGGAGGGGGGGGGGGGGGGGGGGGGGGGGGGGGGGGGGGGGGGGATGGAGACAGAACACATTCATCAAATAATATAAAAAGACACGACTTCATCATTTAAAAGTCATTTATACACATATGGCATACCAACACAGCGTTAATGACAGTGCAAATTTTCCCCTTCCACGTGCATTTCCATTAATTTGTGAAACGGAGTTGGATGGAGTGAGTATACTGAAACACAGTCGATAGCTAAGTGACGGAGTTGGAACAAAATGAATTCGGTCTGTGAAAATTCTTTGGCGACCACCAGTTTTTCTATACCTGACACTTGGAGACTTGGAGAATATAACCAAAACAATTGTACATATTGAGTACGCAAAAATTCTACAACGTATGGGAAATATTGGTTGAATCAGGTAAAATGAATAAATAATAAAATCGCATTGGGCACATAAAAGGGGTCGAAAAAATAAACCCATGATATACACAATCCAATTTATATCGAGGATTAAACTGAGCAAACAAATATATCACAGCCGGAAAAACCCATTACCCATATAAGATTTATGGACAAAGGAAAATAAAAACAAACCCATGTTGCTGTCATCATAGTTGCTAGCAAACGAAGTAGTAGCGGCACCAGTGGAAATTTCTTTTTTTTACAAGGTGTCCTATTCTAGACTAATCCTTGGGTCTGTGATCCGGCCCCTCTTCACACAATCCGGTTAATCGCAGGATGTGCCTCCAACTGGCCAGGGTCCGAGCGCTCCCCACCTGGTCTGACAAAGTGCCAAGCAAGCCAATCCAAGTTGCACCTTGCCTTCCAAGAATAATCCTTGCCTTCCAAGTTCTCACTTGCCTTCCAAGAATAAATCCTTGCCTTCCAAATGTTCCCTTGCCTTCCAAGAATAAATTCTTGCCTTCCAAGAGCCCCATGTTTAAAACTCACGACCTCTGCTCTGCCAGGTTTGACAGCGTCCGTCCTTTGCCAGTGGAGAAGTGCCCTGGGGGGCTGCTGTCATCATAGTTGCTAGCAAACGAAGTAGTAGCGGCACCAGTGGAAATTTTAGGAGTGGGCTTGACAGGAAGTCTTGCAGCCTCTTGGACAGCACGCTTGGCGGCTTCTTTCTGGTCGTAAACGGTCTGTACAAGCTCTCTCCTAATTGCCCTCAGCCTTTTCTCCCTCTTCGACCTCATTGATTTTGCCATTTTCCTTCTTTCTCTGTGTAAGTTGTTCTGGAGTTTTCTCACCGAGACTTTCTTCCCTTCAATTTATAAGGGTTAATTATATGAATGGTAACTGAACTTTACCCTATGTTACTACTTAGTCACTGAACTAAAAAATGTAACTCAATGGTCACTGAACTTCGTCAACTGTTATTACTTTATAACTGAACTTTAAAATGTATCTCAATGATCACCGAACTTTACACCGTATTACCCATCCGTCACTCAAATGAAAAAATCCGTTAAGTCTAACAAACGTCGTCAACTTGAGTGACAGATGGGTAATACAGTGCAAAATTCAGTGATCATTGAGATACATTTTAAAGTTCAGTTATGAAATAGTAATACTTGGCGAAGTTCAATGACTATTAAGTTATATTTTTAAATTCAGTGACTAAGTAGTAATATAGTTGAAAAATCAAATCGACCTCAGTTACATTGACACTATTCGAACATTTTTGTACTTTTATTTAATTTTTCTTTGTCAATTTCTTTTAGTGTTCTAACTGTTTCTCTTTCAATCTATTTATGCGGAATTTGAGATACAGTGAACTGATACCAGTTGATCTAAAAATCAAATGTACTTTTTCACCATGATGGATGAATATTAGCAACAATTCTATTTTTATTTGATTTATAGGTCTTTGATTTTCTTTTCCCTCTTTTTTCCCTTCATTTTCTTTGATTTCTTCTTTCACAGGAGTCGATTTGAAAAGTTTAGCCCTTGTTTGATCCCCATTTTGAAGAATAAAATGAATTTTTGAATAGTATATTGATGAGAAATGTGTAGTTAAAAAATAAAGAAAAGTTTTAGATTTACGTATAATATTATTTTATTGAAAAATATGTGGTTGAATGATATCAAATCACTGTTTAAGAATGTATTTTTTTTTTTTAAAATAATGGGACTCAAACAAGGGCTTAATAATTTAATTTAAAAATATATCTTAATGGTCACTGAACTTTGCCCTATGTTACTATTTAGTCACTCAAGTTGACGCTATTTGTTGGACTTAACGTATTTTTCCATTTGAGTGACGGATGGGTAATACGATGCAAAGTTCGGTGACTATTGAGATACATTTTAAAGTTTAGTTATGAATTAGTAATACTTGGCGAAGTTCAGTGACCATTGAGTTATATTTTTAAGTTCAGTGACTAAGTAGTAATATAAGGCAAAGTTCAGTGACCATTCATATAATTCACCCCAATTTATAATGAGATTAGGGTTTACACAAAGTTCTTTACACAAAGTTCGGTGGCAAATGAATAGCATCGTATGGTGCTGCAAAGCAAATCGTGAGACCCTTTTCTAAATTTTTACACAATATACTCCAATGTCTCCTGCTTTAGTAACTTCGATCCTTCAATTTTAATATAAATTTAAACCATCACTTATCATAATTTGAAAAAATTGAAGTTCATGAATTTATCAAAATTGTCATAAAATAGGGAAAAGTAGAGCATTCAATATAATTGTATATATTTTATTGAGAACCAAAATTTTATATTTATAATGGAAGAATTAAGACTACAGGATTATAATGGTCATTCACTAATAAACATCCAATTTGCAACATTTCCCATTGAATGACTCATTACAAAATATTTGTCTTGTTAAAATACTTTTTAATGAAAATTCAACGAAACAAAAATATCAAATGAAAAAAAAGGAGTACCAATAATTATAACAAAATTGAAGTAATAAAAAGTTGACTCATTAAAGTCTTGTCAAGAAGATCCATTGGGACAAAACTTGAGCGAAAGAAAAGGAGTGTAAATAATCCCACTAATTTCTATTAATGATTCTTGTATCAAATCATCAATGTCTTGTACATCAATATCTTCAATATTACAATTCTGGTGAAGCATGTTTCATAATGTCTTGTTTTAGTCTCCAAGCAATATCATCATCATATATGAAATTTATCAATCTTTGTTTATCTTTAGTTAGCATGAGATCTGTTGAAAAATAAATTGTGTTTTTGCTTTCTTTGAGAGTCGTACACAATTCGTAACATACAAGCGTATTATTTTGAGGAAAAATATCAAAATATGTTATAGACATTCATTATGTAATGAATATATCTCATTAAAACCTTCTTAGAAAAATTCTGTGGAAAAAATCTTAATAAGAGAAAAAAATATATATATAATTCTTTTAACTATGCTACAAAACTTGCTTCATTAAAAACCTTGCAAAGAAAATTGGGTAAAATCTTGATCAAGTAAAAAGAGTACAACGCG